AGTTTGTTTAGTAAAACCATTGTGTGCACGTGGGTGCATCATATGCATTTGTGTATGAGCGCTCTAAAAATAATAGTACTTACAAACTGTAAGTAGAACTGTATTTACAAATACAACATATGAGGAGTTTGGGTTGTACAGGGGTGGGCACGCATTGCACAGTATTTTTTTTCGACTTGCCTACGCCCTGCCTGAGGAGGTGGTAAAAGCTCAATGGTTTTTGTTTATATTTTACTTCTAGACTCACCGATTGTGAACTTTGACGGGGAGACCGTCGTCATGCTGGATTTTGAACGACAAATGAACACCCTGACAACACACACCGATGACATTGACATCCAATTCCGCACCAAGAACCCAGATGGACCGATATTCAACGCAGTCTCCTCCGTGGAGCGTCAGTTCCTGCGTGTGGACCTGCAGGGCGGCCAGATCAAAGTGACCACTAATATAAACAGGGCCAGCAATCCGGGACGCGAACAGGTAATTTTGGCCGGAAGGAAGGCAGACAGCAGATATGTCCCTTAGTCAGGCAGTTTTAAACACAAACATCCATACAGTAGGGCTCAGAATTCGAGCAATATGTCGAAATTGGCGAAATAGTGATATTCTTTCGTTAATCGGCATTGAATAAGGATGTAATAATGATTGTCGTGTAGTCTTTTCTGAAGTCATTTCAGTCACAATAGCATGCCGGCTTTTTAACAGATTTCTTTCTGAAAGTATGCACTCTAAAAAAGTGGCTAGTTAAGTTGTACACATTTTTTTGATTTTGACTGTTTCTTTAAATTCAAATATATTTTATGGAAAACATAAACAAAACAGATATTTCTTGTACTCGTTTGGTAGAAATTACCCCTGCTTTAAACGTCATACTTAAATATAGGGTATCGTTCGGTTTTAGAATAGTTTATAAATTGTCGAATACTTTTGAGGTCTACCGACTGCTACACATTTGTATTATACTCGTTTGGTAGCAAATTACGCCTCCTTTAACTGTTAAACTTAGAGAAAGGGTATCTTTCAATCTTAAAAGGTTTCTAAATTGCTGAATAAATTTTAAACCTACTGACTGCTGCACTTGAATTCAAGGTATACAAACTGCGCCTTCTGTACATCCTGATTAAGGGGAAGCACGTTTACACCTGCGGTTTGAGCAAGAATCACATAATTATCAAAGAATATTGCAACAGATGTGTAACATGCCGTTTATATTATAGGCAGCATTAATAAATTGACAGATTTGATGTATCATGAATGAACATCACACAATCGTAAAAATCTCATAATTAGAAACTTTTTCAAAACCAAAGATACCCTTTCTTTAATTATAAAATTTAAAACAGGCGTACTTTTCTACGAAATGAGTGCAAGTAATTCTTTTTTCGTGTATGTTCTCCATAAAATATATTTTAATTTATAAAGGCAATCAAAATCAATGATAAAAATACGTACAACTTAAAAGCCACCTTTTACAGTACAAACGTTCTGCTGGTGGTCAGGAAGAAGCTCGTTAAATAGCTGGCATGCTATTGTGACCGAAATAACTTTGGAATAG